TAATTCTAATCAGACTGACAACCTATGCAGTCCATGACAAAGTGGGAAAGCATCAACCAACACTCAAATGTGACCAAAAAAGCTGACAGCAAGGTTCTTGTACACCCACAAACACTCTAACAAGCGCAGCACACTGCTCTGCACCCCCGCCATGTGCAGACGAGCGTCCATGTGAGAATTCAGGGAGTTTGCCCAGCAAGGTGGACCAGATTCACTGATGATGTCAATAATTACCTGGAAACCAACAACTCTTGTCCAGAGGAAAGGAAGAGTGCATAATTCATTGGATTAGATTCTATTCTGTTATCTTTTGGGTCATTTTCTTCTTTACCAGTTTAAAAACAGAACAAATTACTAGAACATAAAATGGTATCAGTTTAAAGATGTAGGAAAATAGGCGATACTCATGTTCCACATCTAACCATTTGACAGCAGAGCTGTGGGTGTCCCTGTACAAGAGGATTCAGTCTTGTTAGTCAAGTTTCTACCACGCAGTTCATTTATGAGTCAGCCACACGTACATCAGCGATCTCTCAGCTCTGTTCACATGTACTACAGGGCGGGCTGCGGACGTTCTGGCATTCACCTTTCCTCCTGCCCAGCCCCACCCCACCCCAGCAAAATCCAAAACCTACTTCAGAAATATCTCAGCCTCCTAGAATGCAAATGACAACCATGCACCACCAGCATCTTCTTGAAAGAGAAAGGTGAGAAGGGCAAAATGCACCCTGTGCTGGAGGCAGTGCACGACCTTCAGGAGCAAGAGCCTTGTCAAGTCATTTTTTCCTTTCAGAGCTCCACTGCCAGGAATACCTCACAGTTCCCTTGCATCATTTGCAGGTGCTTGAGCTGCTCTGAAAGATGAGAAGTGGCCAGCACGAGGCAAGGCGTAAGAAACCAGGCCAGTTGTTCGTTTTTTTTCACACTTGCTCAGACTTGGAAAATGGCCTCAGGAAGGGTAGGGACAGCCATCTGTCTAAATCTCTGCATTTTTTTCTGTAGTGAACTTGAAGGAGGTTTTCTCAACCCGTCTCCACCTGCTTGTTGCAGAGAAACATTTGTGATAAACTGACGGCTTGACGCTCCTAACAAATCCTCCCTCCCCACGCCCTGGTATAGCTGTCAGTACCTCCATCTTTTCCCTAGTTCTTTCCCCTCCAGATTGAGTGTGAATTTTCTATCTCTTTTCTCCATCTGTACTTCTATATTTGCTCCCTTTTGCCTCGCAGCTCTCCTCTCGCTTCCTTCATTGCTCCAGCTGAGCAGAGGGCAACCGGCTCCTCATGGTGCACCCCGCAGCCGCTGGGAGCAGGGGCAGGGGCTGGCGTGACATGCTGGCATCAAAGTCTCCCCTCTGTATCATGAGCTGCTCTGAGAGCCTGCCGTAATGGGGAGAAACGCAGAGAGAAGGAAGGGATGTGACATCAGGATTCTGGGGGCAAACAGCAAAACACGGTGGGGCTGTGCTGCAGTTTCTCCCTCCCATTCCACTGCCACGATGCACTGCATCCAGCTGTGATGCTGACCTGCTGCCTGAAGCCAAAGCCTCCTCCACTCCCAACCTGTTGTTTTGCACTCTGGCACTCACAGTGTGCTGTGCAGGACTGTCACCAGCAGTCCTGGCAATGCTTTGTGCTGGGATCCAAGCAAAAAGGGCTGCTGTGTAGGTTATGGGAGGAGGTGAGAAAGAGCCTGCCTCTGCCGCTGTCAGGGATAGGACCTGGCTGAGCCAGCCCATATGCTTTAACACCACCACTCCCCAGCATTCACCACTCGTGCCAGTGAGCAATTTTGATTCATTCCATTGTAAAGGTTGAAAACATTTTAAAATGTAAATCCCAGCACAGGCAATAATCCTCATCAAAAAGGAATGTTTGGAGATGGGGCTTTACTTCAAGATCACTGAAATAACAGTAGAGAAAAACATAACAATGTTCAGCTGAGAAACCCAACCTTAGCTGTTAATTTTTTAAAAATTCCCTGACATAAAAGAATCTGGAGGGAAAGAAAATGCGTGCACAGAACTCCACCTGCGAGCAGATGCACAGGCTGTGGCTCCTGCCTACCCACTGCAAAGCTACCACATTTCAAAGAACTGCTTAATGATGGGCCTAATGGACCCGCACTGCCTGTCTCCAAATCCTCCTTTGCCTCGGCCTATTTGAAACTGGAGTGATGCCCAGCTGCACTCCCAGGATTGCACTGTCATCCTGTGTGCAGGCTTTGCAGCCCATCTCACCACCCACTCAGCAAAACAGCTGCAGGTTTGCAGTTCTGGATGCTCCCTGCATGCCCTGCATTTCGGGCAAATCTCCTCCATGGAGAACATGAATCTCCCATTAGCTGTAGGAGTGTCTGAACTTGAACAAGTGGAGAAAATGTCGTACAATATTAATTGTCCAATTTGGTTAATAGCACACACTGTGCCCACGTGAATAGCTGCACGATTTACATCCTCACTGGTCCATCTGCTTTGCTTTCAGAAAGATTTGTACATGAAGAATGGTCTTTATCTTCAAGCCAACCATAGAAATTTGCTTCCTGAGGAGTATTTGGAGCACACAATGTATTTGGTGCATCAGAACACTGTTGCCCCTTTCTATTCTTTCTCCTATGGAAACAGTCATCCTTCCCCAGCTCTGGACTCCCTCAATTGCACATTTCACATAAGCTGCTCTGCAGAAACCACCTTTGTACCTGTCTATCCAGTTGTATTAGGCACCTCCCATGCTTAGGACCATTAACCTGATCACAACAGCTTGATGAATTCATCCTTATACAGACACAGTTGGCAGCTTCTAATTAAATAATTATGACTAAACAGCTGCAGAGAAGTTGTAATGTTCCACTAAAAAGCCAGATGTCAATTTTATTGGACCTCAAAGTTTAAAAAGATATGGCTCTGGAAGATTTGGAAAGGGACTTCTGCTGCCACAGGTGAATGCTGGAGGCACTGTGCTGCCCTTCTGCTGCAGCCCAGCCCCACGCACACTGCTGGTGAGCCCTGCAGCCCAGCAGCAGCTCTGTCAGAGCGAGCAGCAACCACCATGAAGAGTAACAGAGACATCTGGGTCAAGATGCAAAAGAATCACAGTCCTTGCTTTGCCTAGGGAAGGATCCTTCGAAAAACCCATCTTTGAAAAAGCGTCAGTATCAAAAATCCACAAAATTGGCATGAGCCAAATACAAAACTTATTGAACTGGATAAACCTTTCCAGGAACTTGTATGGGAACTGTTGAGTCCCAGCCTGGACCAGTGATGGAGCACCTGGGGAAAGGACCCGGTCAGCCCTGGGAACACAGGTGAAGGCAATTCAGCTGTGATTGGAAGGACTGCAGCCTGGCTGCACCTCTCCTGGACCCCATTTAAGGGCTGCCACTGGGGAAGGATCTCTTTCTGGAGATCCCTGTTTGGTGGAGTCTCTCCTGCAAGCCTAGATCTCCAGAGACATGTGAGAACCTCTACTTTTCTTTGAAGTATCATCCTATCTGCACGGGCCTCTTTGCTGTTACTTTCCCACATCGCCCTTCCAGCATGTTAAACTTTCCCATTCTAACAGCACCTTTATTGGATTTGGAGTTCTCTGCCTTAGTGAGAGAAGATTTTGTGAAGCTTGTTGAAGTTTTACTGTCCAAAATTTGTGATGTTCTTTTTATCTTGGTACCTTAACCATAATGATGTGGAAGCAATGAGCAACCCTTGAAGGCAACAATATGAGTAATATGGAAGTTATTAGTCCATGTTTCCTAACTGGTGTCAAACCTACTTTCATCCTCTTTTCAATTAGCAAAACACTGGGCCTATTAAAAACTTTTCTGATTTTATATTTAAAAAATTAATTCTAATTCATATATCTACATGAATTATTCTTCTCTATCTTGCACAAGGCACCGATCTTCAAACATACAATGGCCTGGGTTGAAAAGGACCACAGTCATCCATCCCTGTTAGCATATAAGCAGATCCAAGACCTTTGGACCTTCTGATGAGAAATCCATCTAGAAAACTAATTTTAAGTAAATCTATGCATGTCAAAAATACATATGGCTTCTCAGGATGCTAACTTAAGCATCATTACATAAGCAGATTAGGGCTGCCTGTTGAGCTGAGACACGAGGAGATGGCACTGAATCCAGTATTACACACAAGCAATTCAATTCCTGATACATCATCTTTCATCTAAAACTTTTGTCAGCTCTCCACATTACCAAGCCTGCCAAATGTAAGTGTTGCACACAGCGCAGTAGGTCTGCAGGCTAAGTAATTTTTGTCCCTCTTTAAATGCTTTTGCCCAAAGCAGCAGCTAGCTAAAGCCCATTTGTACAAATGACCAGTGAAATGTTCCATTCTTCACCCTCTTGAGATGAAAATGGAGAAGAACATCCTCATGAACTTCTTGCACATTTATGCATAGCAGCTGAGGAATGATTTTCTGATATAGGAATATAGAATCAAAATCATCCTCATGTTTCCATTGGTAACAGTGCCTCTACCTGAATATCAACTTAGAAAGTTAATGAGCCTGCTAGAACGATCAGCTAAAATTACCACAACAGTATGTGATCCGATGTGATTGCAGTAAGCAGGGCAGATACTTCTCATTATGAGGACTGTTTTTCATAGGCATGTTGCATAACAGGGCAGAGCAGCTCGCCTCTCTCTGCTCCAAGCCCTCATTTCAGAGAACATCAGTTGGATCTGAGAAGGCTCCCTGTTGAAAAGCAGCCAGGGGGACAGGATTTTGTTTTCACTTCCCTGCATGTAAGTGTGTCAGGAGCGTTGACAGATGGTTTGCTGGCTATGCTTGACTATTATCAAGCAGCTATTACCTTTGTAAATTCAATCCAATTTGAAGGCTTTCTGTAAATAAATCTGCAGCGCGTTTGCATGGCTTACATTGCATCCTGCTTGCTCTCAGGAAGTGTGCAAGGCTGTCAGATGGCTGATTTACACAGCCAGAGACAGCAGCATCCTTCAGGCACAGAGATGGGGTGCTTTTGGCAGTCTGTGCTGCCACCTAGCCAAGACCAAGCCACAGAGTTCAGCCTGGCCTTATAGTTTGAAAGCTTAAACTGAAGCATATCACCTCACATCAAAATAAAGCTCCAATCTGCAGCAGATACAAAGAAATCTGCACTTCTCGTGCTTTGCAAACTGCACAGTCAGCAGAAGAGACAGGTTTCAAACAGGCAGTTACGTTTCCCTCAGAAATGCCTCGTACTTACGGTAGAAGACGTATTCAGTGTAGCTGGACCAGACCTTGTCATCAGTGTACTGATTGACAAAGGACGCCGTCACAGAGGAGTTGCAGGCCACCATGTGGAATCCACACTCAGATAACATGTCAAAAGCCCTCTCCAGATGCTTGAACTTGAGATAAAACCTGGAGGTGTACCTTTCTGGAGCTCTGTCTGGATCTCTGCTTTCATTCAAACTTTCTCCAAAGACCTCTTTGACCAAAGCGATCCTTCCGCAAACCAAAATCCTTGGGACCCTCCTGAATTTGGCATCTGCTTGGCTCTCCCTGCCAATAGTGCATGACCCCCGGTATCCAATGGTAATGAATCCCCACTTTCGATCTGATGGTAGGAGAGATGCAGGGGGGCATATTCTCGTGTCACTGCCTTGGGAGACCTCTTCGTAGTCACTGTGGCAATAATCATCGGGGCTTTGCTTGCTGTCATCAGGAGTCAGGAGTTTGACCAAGTCTGGGAGCTGGAAGTACTCAGCCTCCCTCTTGAGCCTTCCCTTTTCAGGGAAGTGGTCAGGCAGAACAACTTGCTTGTCCCTGAGATAGTCCAGAATATAGCGAAAAAGGAAACCATCTCTGTCAATGAAGAATCTTCCCTTGGAGTCCTTGGCCAGATCATTGGCTGTGTCTCTTTTTGGGGTGAACATTTTCCACAGCAAGGAGTGAGGGGTGCCAACCAAGGTGGAGTGGCGAGTGAAGTAAACCTGGCCACCCACATTTAGCTCCACAACCTCCGGGAAGGATTGCAGCCCAGAGCCCTGCTCCCGGGCAGGGAGGTAAGTCCTGCAGTTGCCACTTAGTGCCATTGTGCTTTAAAAAAGAAAACAGCAGCACGGAGCAGGAGGATGGTCAGTCACATCAAAGTCTAGAATAAGGCTCCCAGTATTAAGGAGAAATGGGAGGGAAGGGGAAGCGAGGAAAGAAAAAAAAAAAACCCAAAAGGTATGCCTAAAAAAATATTTGAATTGTCCATAAGTAATAGCGTGATAGAAGTGTCTTATATCCTAAGCCATTGGGGCTGGAGAGAAATCCCTTCATGAAACACAATCATATCATTAGATCTTCCAACAAAGCCATCAAAATCAAGGTCAAGCCCAGCCTACGGTAATTCACTGGTCTTCTAAAAGGGAAAACAAAATAAGATTCAAATTAACCTCTGAAGCATGCCAGCAATTGCAATAGAGAAAAACAACTCATTCTAGGAAGCTGTTAGCCTTCCTGCTAAATATGTCTAATTTTTCCAAGTTCTCCCCCTTCTTTTTCAGAAATGCTAATCAATGGAACGACTCGGTGCGATCCTGCAGTTTAAAGAATACACATAGTTTATCTTCAAACAAACATCTAATTTAAACATGCAGATGAGACAGTGAGAACACCAGCTCTTACCTTGGTTACAAATAATGCATAGCTCTTGTAAAGGAAAGCAAAATTTCAAGACACTCAGAACACACATACAGGCACATAGAGTCCAGATAGTATCATATCCGATCCCAGCAAGGGACAGCAAAGGCAAGAAAAGTGCTCTTAACAACATTCATGTAGATCTCGAGAGTTAAACCGAGTCGCGAAAAAAGTTAACCGTGGCAGGTGATGAGAAAACAATACACACAGCACAGAGGGGGAGAAGGGGAAAAAAAGCACGAAAATCCCAAATAAATCCGATCGGGTTCCTTGAGAGCGGGGAACGCGCTGCGGGGGACGCTGCCTCAGATGACTTGCAGAAACCCCGCAGCCCGCGCTAAGGGCTGAGACGCTCCAGCGACTCCCGCAGCCGCCCGGGCAGCGCGGAACGCGGCTCCCCACGTCCGCCCGCCGCTCCCGCGCCCCACCGCGCCGCTCTGCTCGGATCCGCTCCGCTCAGCGGCGCGGGGACGGGAGCGCGGAGGGCGATGCCGATTGCATCATCCTAAAGGAGCCGGGACCGGAGACGGCGCCAGAAGCCCGGGCGGCGCCAGCACCGCGGACAGCGCCGGGCCGCGCTCCGCCGAGCGGGTTGGCCGCCCCCGGGGCGCCGCCGCCGCAGCCCTCCGAGCCCGAGTTCAGGTAAAGTTCCTCCCGCTCCGCTCCTCTCCAGGCGGCAGCTCCCGGCCCCTGCCCGCCGCCGACACGTGCCGTCCGCGGCTCCGCGCAGGCGAGGCGGTGATTTCACCCGGCGACGCAGGCGGGCAGGGTGGGAGCAGCCGGTGGGTGGGCGCTCCCGGCACGCTCGCCCGAGGCTCTCCGGCAGGAGCGCGGTTTTATCGCGCTGCTCGCACTCCTCATCTCCCCAGCAGTGACCCAGAAAGGGCAGAAGCCAGCAACGAGGCGCCGTGCAATTACCGCGGGGACGGCAGGGAGGAGGTGGGGCGGTTTGGCAGGAGCGCTGCAGGACTCGCTTCGTGTGCCGGACTGTGATGGGGAGGGGGCAGGACGGGGGCAGGACGGGGGCAGGACGGGGGCAGGACGGGGGCAGGGGCTCCCGCCGCGCCCCGCTCTCCTCGCGGCCGTGGCCGTGCTGGCACCGCCACCTCGCGTCCAGCCCTGGCCCTGCTCCCGGCTCTTCCCAGCCGCTCTTACCAGGGCAAAAGCTGCGGGAAAGGCGAGCTGAAGAACGCCGGGAAAATGGGCTTTCGGAGCAGCGGGCTGCTGCTGCCGAGAGTGGGCTGAGGCCGCAAATCGGGCACCCTGGGCTCTCCTCAGCGTGAACTACTGTCTCGGGTTAAATAAACACGGTATGCAGCATAAGATGAAAGGAAGTGACCGGGCTGCTCAACTGGCTCACAAAATCGGCACCATAACGTGCAGTCACCGATGATTTCACAGATAATTACATAGTGATATCAGAAAAGTTCAGTGTATTTTGGCATGAAATGGGGATACTCAGAATGATGAACATATGATAAAGAGCCCTGCGTTCAAAGAAAACCCAGCGGGGAAGTTTTAGAATGAAACCTTTGTGCATGGAAGTTACTGAGCTGTCAGTTTCTACTGGCTGCACTGAAGTTGCAGATACTTCAGGAGGAACGAAGGAAGGGAGGGAGGAAGGAGGACTCTGACTTAACAGTACAGTTCTATAGCCTGAGGGAGGAAAGCACTGATCTGTGTACTTACAGTTTCTCAATTTCAAGCCTGATAGTTAAATAGTATATCAAACCCTTGCTTTTTGACCTTAATCAATTCATTAATTCAGAAGCAGCTGTGAGGCTCGTGAGCCAAGGTTCTGTTTCTTACTGCTGGACCTGACTTTTAATTTGCAAACCAGCAGAATATGGGACTGCTGCAGGGGCTGTACATTGTATCTCAGAAAAAGACAAAGTTCTGTGCATCTTTACTTGCTGTTCCCACACACCAGCTGAAGAAGAACTTGTCAGTGCTGCCATAAAGTTTAGAATGAGGATTTAAAAAGGTTGGTGTGAGGACATGTTAACTTAGATGCCTTCATCATATGTTTAAGTCTGGGAGAGTCAAAGTGTACAGGCTTTAACATCTCCATGACCAGATAGATGAAATGATAGGCTTCCTTTAGGATTTAAACTCATTAGTGCTGCCTTGGTTGACAGTAATGAGTATTCTATCAGCTTTTTCAAATACTTTAGTTATTAATGTTAGTTAATATGATTTAATAATATCTAAATCAATTTTCATAAAGCCAGTGCTGTCCTATTGGCAAGGCTTGGAGAATCAATTCACTGTGCCCAGTAAAAAATCGATCCTGTCCAAACAAACTGAAGTCATTTGAGATCACATGGCATGATTAAGATCTGAGTCCCCAAGGGAGGCTGATAGGATCCCCTGGGCAGAAGTCCTTTGGGCAGTGGAAACAAGGCAGGCTCGATGTGCAGGCAGCAGCATGGGGATGAGTCTAATAGAGAGCTGTGATTCCTGACGAGGTGCTGTGAAGTATTCTGACATCAATACTGTGTGATTAGTGAATACAGACGTATTTAAACTCCAAGTCTTTTTGAAAAATTATAATCAGAATTGTCCTTTGAAAAGAACAAAAACCTTAGAATTTTAATCACAACAGCTTCAGAAAAGCATCTGCACTTTTCAAATAATAAATGAAAGGAATTCAACTCCTACCTTTATTTCTTTACACAGGATGTTCCAATCATTTTACTGTAATACAATTTCCTTTGATGCAGTGATTTCAATTGTAGAAGCATCACGTGATGCTTCCTTGCTAAATAGAAAGCAGTGGCCAAATCCATCGAAATGCTGTCTGAGACAAGTGAAACTTGAAAATCTGGGCCAAACACACCAGTGACCTAAATGTAAAATATGTGTCAGCACCACACTAAGGACCTTACCTATTCAGCTGCGAAACTAAAGCAGCTCATCTCAAGTGCAGTTATAGTTCTGTGATGGAAAAGAAAAGTGGCATCTATCAGAAGGAAGAGGATGAAGCTTGTCCCACTTTTAGAGATGCCTATGTAACCTTCGATTTAGCTGGGGAAAAATTTAGCCCAAGCTTAAAGCGTATGTTCCAAAGGTCACAGCAGAGCTATGCTGAAACCCAGCGCAGCAGTGATATGACATCATTCACAGGTTTGAGGCCCTTCCGTATGACAAAGTGCTATGTTAGCACTCCAGCTTTCACTAATCATGGGACTACTGACTCCATCAAATTCTGTGGGTGCTAAAATAGGGTCGGCATCTTTAAAGAAGCAGCAATGAATGTTAGGAAGGGTAGCACTCAATTTGGTCTCTAGTAGCAATGGTACGTACACATCTCACCTTCCATCTCACAGTGCAAAAGCACAAGCTGTAAATACCAATCAAGCCACCCACACATAATGAGAAATGTAGGAGCTGTTTATCAGCATTTAGCTGCACCACAATGAACTTTGAGGCACTCAGGGACACAGCAATAATTTCTAGTGGAAATTGAAGGAGTTATTCTGAGAAGAAAGAAATATTGAAGTTCCGGAGCGATGCTCTGATTTGGAAATCACTTCACGGTGCCACCCAAGGAGCCTTCAGCCACATATTTTGTAACTGCCAGTGCTCCTCAGCAGCCTCCTGTCTAAATACCAAGACAAAGCAACACTCCACCAGGGCAAGGCTCAGATAAACCACAGAAAAGAGCACAATTGCTGAGGAGAGTGGTGTGACAAAGGGAAGCAGAAATGTATGTCCTTAGCAGGTGCTTTAGGCTTACTGTCAGAGCACTGTAAAGGGACACTGGTTCCAGAGAAAACCACCACCAGATCCTGCAGGCAGCTGGCAGCACTTTCAATCCAATCTCAATCCATAGCTACAGACATTAACCATGTTCTGGTAGGAACAGTGCTGAAGCAGAGACCTTTAACTTAGATGCTTTCATGAAAGATTTCTAGTACTTCTAGAGTAGAGCAGTCTTCACATCCCTCAGGCACCTTGAGTTCCCTAGAACTGAGCCAGGCAAGAAAAAGAATAATAGTGAGATAAAATAACGTTATCCACCAACCAGCAATGTGAATTACGTACAGTGCAGATCTCATCTGCTGAAATCCAGCAGTGTGTGTGAAGTCATAACAGATCTCTCACTTTGCAGAATAAGCAGAAAGAAACACTAAATGATAGAATCTCCCCAGAAAGAGGTCTGCTAGCAAAAGAATGAGTGCCATAAAGTAGGGTTTATTACAAAGAACATGATAAAACATTATACAGCTTTGCCCTTGATCTTTTATTTATTACTCAAGTGCATAATGCATTTTCATCAAAAAAAGGCAGAGGAAGAACAGCTTTCATGGTTGCTCAGTGTGTAAGCACGGGCAAGCTTAAGCAAGTGTAAGCAAGGCAGAGAATTCAAACAGAAAACATGAGACAACATATTTTTTTCCCCTATCATGTAAGACAGAATGTGGGCACAGCTTCGGTAAAGAAAACAGTTTGTAGCTTTTAAAAGGCACCAAATCCAAAGTAAACTCATTGTACAAAGTGCTATATTTTCAAAGGTGGAGCATTTTAAACCTGCTGGTTAAACTTCATCATCAGTGGATCATCTCTGAGTGTCTTATAGGCAAAAACTTGTGAACTGTGAGGCATGAAACTGATGCATCTCCTTAACTGTCTTGAAGCTTCCCTTTCATGCAGTCCCTCACGAAATCATTTCTATTTTGCTTTACCAGAAAATGAAGGGTTCTCTCATCTGCACAGCTCCAAAAAGAATATGTTGGTGGAAAAGATGATGACAAACTTCAACCTGTTCCCATTAGCACTGCCGACCATGATGCACTTTCTAAGTCATGTGAATAGGAAATGGTTGAGTAAGTGCAATGTCTTGCCTTCTCTTGGACCCTCAGGCCTGTACCAGACTACACTCTGATACAGATGAGCATGAATTTGTCCTGCAAAGCTGAAGCTGACAACTAATACCCTAAAAATATGTTGAGAAGCTCAGTGCAAACAGAGAGAGATAATTAATGAAAGCTCAAACCTAAGCTGAGAGTAAATTCTAATAATCTAAGCAAATCCAAATAGATTTCTAGCCAAAGAGCATTTCACCAGCAAATCACAATTAAACAGCCCACTGCTTGGGATTTGGGTCTCATTTCACTGTCTAGTGAACTGCAACAAAGTCACACAGTTCAGCGAAGTGGCACTAAGCCATCAACATCAGATGTAGCCTGCACACTCTACAGGTCTTCCATGAAAGCTTGGATCTTCTCAGACTTCAAACACTAATTTACCTAAAGTATAAATCTGTGGGAAGCAGCTTATACCACAGTCACTGATCTGTGCATTATCTGTGACTATAATTCCCCCATCATTATTTCATTCAGTTCTACAAACATGCACGTTTTCTGTGAGGCTGTTCTCAGGAGATACTGCATACACTGCGCCACAAGTTACATTTTTGCGGAAGCTTATAACAGAACTGTAATTTAAATACAGTAATCTCACTAGAAGAAGATTATATCCAAGAGTTTGTAACAAAATAACTGCAATTGTGTCCAAAGCCACCATGAATTAAAAGAAAGAAAGAAATAAAATGATTGCAATAAAAAAATAAAGGAAAGAAAAGAAAAAATGTACTTCAAAGCAGGGACTCACATTCGCAGAAGTATGTGTGCCCAAGTGGCAAGCAACGAGATTGCAACTGTTGATGTATGCACAACTAACACATTTCTAAACCTCACTGCTGTGTACCTATTCAGCAACAACAATAATGTGGCAATTATGACTCATTTCATTCAGAAGTTTCATCTAAACTACCTCAGTTGGGCTTCTCCCTTATTCTGTCTACAGCAAAGCCCATCTGGGTCAACATCTTTATTTTTTCCTGCACTCTGCATCAGTACCTTAGGTAGTTAATAAAAACAAACTCTAATTAACAGCCAGCATATAACCTTTTCTCCTGGACAAGCATGAAAAAAAGGAGCAAAATGATGGAACTAGATGGATAAACAGAGTGACCAGCAAAGACTGGGCTGTGAAGGAAGGGAGCTCCTTCATATTAGTCTCTTCTTTAGTCCCCCTGTCCCTCTTCTTCCATTTGTCACGTAACAGCACCTGCAGACCTTTTCCTCAGCTCTCTCCCAGTCCATGGCAATTTCATCTCCATCCTGGGCTGTCTCAGTCATTTTTTTCTCTTAATTCCACAGTAACCCTAACTCCTGCAGCTTATTCAAAGGTAAAGATTGACAGCTGGTCTTTACTAAAGACAAGAAGCTCCACGGCTCTAGTATATGTTTCATTTGGCCTCAGCAGAATATTCAATTTATTTGATTGAATGCCAGCAATTACTTACTTTTCTCTCAGTAGCATCATCACCAACAAAGTCTGTTTCACACACTTTCCCATTCATGCAGTGAGCAGCACGTTCTATTCCAACTGGGAGATGAAGGAAGATCCCAGGGAAAGATACTGAACCTGGAGACAAAACCACCTCATGTAATTAAGCTCTGGCCTTGGAGGAAAAAAAACAAAACAAAACAAAACGCAGAACCAAAAAACCAAACAAAAACCACCGCCTTCAATGGACAAGGGCTGAGGCGCATGGCACATGAGCCCTGCTGCATCTCTCCACAGGGTGAGCCCAAGCCCCAGCCTGGTGCTTCCTTGTTCTTGGGCAATCACCCATTAAAGTGGTTCTCACCACCTCTCCTCACTGCTCGCACAGCTCTGCAGACTGAGCTCCAGCCACACACACAGCAGGGCCATGCAGCATTGTTGTGCAGCACTGCCATGCACCATTGTTGTGCAGCACTGCCCTGCAGCATTGCTACGCAGCATCGCATTGCCTTGCAGCATCACCCTGCAGCACTGCCGCACAGCACTGTCCTGCAGCATTGCGTGCAGCACTGCATGCAGCATTACACTGCCTGCAGCATTGCACTGCCTGCAGCATTGCCATTCTGCCCTCCATCACCCCGTCCAGCTCTGCGTTTGCTGAAGCACAGATTGGGGTTTTTTGGGGTGCTGCTCACCCCTGTGTCTGCCCCACGGGAGCACAGCACAAACCGCCCGCTGGGCTTCCGTGAGCTTCTCACAGGTTAACGCAGATAAAGGGTTTGTAACCAAAATTGAAGAGTTTACATTTCACTGGTGGCTGCACCAGGGGAGAACACGAGATGTGGCAGTGATTTGGTGCGTGGAGCCCGCAGCTCACCTCGCATCAGCTCCGCTCTGCCCCACAGCCACGGGCAGCAGGAGCGGCGATGCAGAGCAGCGCAGGAGCTCGGAGCGGACACAGCCGGGGGTCACGCGCGTTCGTGAGCCGAGCATTTGCTTCCCTTCAGGTTTTAGACAAAGCGGTAGGAAATAGAAGCGAAGCTTCGAGGAGCCGACCGAACCCAGCAGAAGGAGCTCCACGACACCAGCGGCCAGCCGCCATCTTCCCGCCGCCCCGCGCCTCGTTCCCAAGGCAACGCGATACTTCGCGGGCGCCACGCAGGCAGAGGGCGGTGCCGCGAGAGGCGCGTGCTCAGCGGGGGGCGCCCCGCCGCCTCTCCTGTGCGCATGCGCGAGGTCACTGCCCCGGAAGTGCTCGCGCGGCGCGTTGACACGTCGCAGGGCCGGGCGGGCGCGGGCCGCGCTGAGGCTGCGGGAAGCGCGGCGGGGCGGGCGCCGGGCAGCGCGGCGGGGATAAGCGGCTCCGTCCGAGCGCAGCGGGGAGCGGCGCCTGGAGCGGCTCCTGAGGCTGCGGGAGCGCCCCGAGGGCCGCCGCCGCCCGTGTGGGGATCCGCGGGCTGAGCGCCGCGCAGCTGGCGGCGATGTCCGGGTTCGACAGCTTCAACACGGAGTTCTTCCAGACCAGCTACAGCATCGACGAGCAGGCCCAGGCCTACGAGTACGGCGGCGGGAGGCCCTACGGCAGGTAGCGGGGCCTTCTTTGTGCTCATCCGTTCGTACGTGATGCCTTCCTTCTTTTCTGCGGCTCAACACGCGTTGCGGATGCGCGTTGAAGTCTGTGTCACGCAGTCCGTGGCTGCAGCACCTCGGCAGTTCGTTTAGGGATGGGACGTGGCTCTAATGAGGCTGTTCTTTAATTAAAAAAACGCGCAGCAATATATAGTTTTATGTGCCTGAGATCTACAAGGAGAGCATTCCAAAGGCAGCATAAACTGACTTGGTAGTGAATGCCTGAGAAGATGTGAAACAGAAACTGAAAAGTTGCTTTTCTCCCGTATCACATCCTGTAGGTATGAAGTGCTTAACTTCCATTTAGTAGCTCCTTCCTCTGTGTTGTGATGCTGACACTCGTGATGCCGCAGTGGAAGGAAGCAGGGCTTTTAATTTCATCTGACTTTTTGTCTTTAATTCCTTTAACTTTAGAGGGGGGTGGAAGTGACAGTGTGAGCTGATGATGGCATCGAATGAGATGTTAGTAGTGATTAAGGTACACATTAATTAGTTTCTGACAGTTTTCCTACTCTTATGTGCTGCAGTAGTAATTCTTGATTGTGCAGGCCTATGACTTGAAAGCAAAAAGCAATGCGAGCACATGCAGCAGTAGTTACTTGTTTAGCTGCTGGCTGCATGTCTTCTTTACTGATCAGTATTGTTTATGAGGGCTTCAGTGGAAGAAAGCAGCTAAATGCCCAGCAGGTCTGAGGAGGGATTGTGGAAGGTAACTAAAACAAAAAATGGGCAGGACTGTTTGCTTATTGTGTATGAGCTTTGACTTTTGCGTGGAGGTGTTTCATATCAAATGCTTTATCTATCCATGATCTGATGTAATTCTTTATAGGCAGTATGGAGGCTACGAGTACTCTCAACAAAGTGGATTTGTCCCTCCTGAGATGATGCAGCAGCAGCCTTACACAGGGCAGATTTACCAGCCAACACAGACGTATACTCCAACTTCAGCACAGTCGTTCTATGGAAGTAATTTTGAGGATGAGCCTCCTCTATTAGAAGGTATAACTTGTGCTTTATGGCCAAAATGCAGAACTCCTTCCACCTGGTCCCCAGTTTGAGTGATTTGAGTAGTAGGGTGTAGGTGCTGTTTCTGAAAGTGAGCAGTTGAGTTGATATGCTCACTATCTTTTCGTATCTAACTGTATTTCAGTATACAGAAAGCATATTCTTATGTGAATTTCTAGACCGAGTTGTAGCATTATGCTTTATTTATACTAGCTGTTCTGTGGAAGCCAGGATAAATTAAATGGATTTTGTACAACACAATAAAATGTTATTTTCTTTCTATTGTAAATTAAAAAATACTTAAAATTGTCTGTTTTGTATGGAAACAAATTGATGCTGTTAGTTTCAGTTGATTCTGTGGTTAGAACTGAAATCTTTCAGTGCTGAAGGCGAGTGCTGAACATTGCAGAAATTCCTGTCCAGAATACAGACTGCCAAATGCCAGAATGGATGTGTAGTGAGTGCCTAGATGGATGCATCACTGCTAATTACCAAATAACTGAAGAAGCTCTTTCAGTTGCTGATTTGGAGTTGTGTTTTTCTTCCACTCGTCTGGCCTTGCGTATACTATTCATGAAGTGCTTTTGTTTATGTAGATGCTTCTCAGGGCCTGAGGTGGGCAGATGATCACTGCATTCATAACTAGGTTTGCATGTGCAACTGTGATGAAATCGTGCGGATGGAGACTCAAAATCATTTCCAGCTGCATGGAGCTGTAAAATATGTGTCATGAGACATCAGTGTTAAAAGAGATGACTGTTTTTGAGTGGATTCACTGATAGGATAGCTGGTTTGTGAAAGAGAAGCCCACTGAAAGGGAGCTAAGTATAGAGAAGCTACTTTGAATTAGAAATCTTTGAGCCACTGGTCACTGGAAACTTGGGGACTGTTGGAGCAATCTGCATATTTTGTTCTGATATTTTTTGTATGTATGTGCTTTAGGCCACGTACAAGCCCAGCATATACTGGGCTAACTGAACTTTGGTCTGACACAGAACCCTGCTTTTGTGCTCTTATCTGGCTCTTTAGAAGCCAGCTTGTCACTGCAGAGCATTTGAGACCTGGAATCTGTAGAAGCAGCGTTCTCAGCAGCTTAAAGAGAGGTGTTCCTGTAGGATAATTCCTGGGGATGATTTTGGAGTGGCAGGGAAAAGTGACAGCAAAGTAAATGGGGCAAGGGGAGAAGGGGAGGAAATGTAATGCATAATTCTTTTCATGTGACTTGTAGAATTGGGGATCAATTTTGACCACATCTGGCAGAAGACGCTAACAGTTCTGCACCCATTAAAAGTAGCAGATGGCAGCATCATGAATGAGACTGACTTGGCTGGACCAATGGTCTTCTGTTTAGCTTTTGGAGCCACGTTGTTACTGGTAAGATCCTAATTGTCTCGTGTTACTATTTATGCTTTCATGCCTGGAGACAGTGGGGCATAAGGCCAAATTACGTGTGGCCTTGTTGGAAGTGACTCCTTAGCCTGGTGGACACAAAAAATGCGTCCTGGGTGAGAGTTTCTAGCTGAGTGGAAGAGGAACTGGTGCTTAGTACAATGCTCGTTGGAGTTAATAAGGTAATTATTCTTTTTCTCCTGCAGGGTTCAAATGAAGGTTTTAGAGCTTGCTTTCTGCATGATACTGATTTAACTGGAATGCATATTTCTCTTTATGCTTTGTTTTGAGGAATATGGGTCCTTTTGTCACAGAACAGATGCGTGACCCATGTTCTCAGATTCTACACGTAGCTTTTGGGAGATTGAGCTGTTTTAGTTTCACAACCAGGTGTTGCCTTGTTGAAGCACCTGGTTCTGATCAGGTCTCAGGAAAATGTGCTCATTCAATATTTGAATTTTTATTTTTTATTTTTTTTCTAGCACTCATGTTAAATGCTTGAGGCCTCTCTGTTTTGTTTCCCTGTCTTTGATGCTTTGTTCATTTGTTTCTACTCTGTTCCTCCAGGTGTGAGGAGGCTCATGTGGTGGGATTTCACCAGTGCTGTTACAATTGATACGTTTGGTTTGTCTGCTGGTATAAATAGCCAATCTTAAAACACTTCTAAAGTGAATCTGCTTCCAAATAGCTTATACTTCTTAATAGGTTAGCATCTGATGAAGCCTTCTTTTTAATTGAGCTTCACTGAAATTAGATTGTGGTTTAATGACTCAAAAGTGTCTACTATTAAATGACAGAGTAGCAGCAGGCAGAATTCCTTGTCTTAGGAAGCCTCAGTATTTTTCATCAGTTCTCTTCTCTAAATGTCTTTGGGCATTGCATTTTTTTCTGAAAATGCACTTTGCTGCAGTGCAGTGCTTTGGCACCAAGGGCAGCATAAGCCCACTTTTACACCTAACTTCATTTATGGCAACTGGGACAGCAGAATTAATGAATGTGTTCATAATAGGTAATTTTGAATGTGCTCTTATTGAGAAATTATCACTTTTTCCTATGTGGTGTTTTGAGCCCTGACAGTGTTATTTTTCTTATTTTTATCTGAATTTTAAGTAAAAATACTGAGTAAGAATGTTGGAATGTAGTGAGAGAAAGCAAATGTAGGCTGGGAAAAAGAAAGGATTAAAGCAGGTTTTGTAGCACTTGAGGGAGGGGGGAGCTGAGCTATAGACACCGTGCTATGGGAGGCAGGCAGGCACAGGAGCTGTGCACCAGGGGAGCACTGCACTCCTCATGGCCCTGCCTTTCTGCAGGGCTGGAATTGTGGCCTTTTGATAATAAGATCATATGGTTGGAAAAACAAATAGAGACATAGGATGCACATGTGTGTTACAAAAAAACAATCTTGAAAGTTAAGCAGAGTTCTGATTTTGACTCTTTTTTTAAAAAAAAAATCTACACAACTTAATTCTGCACTTCATACGCAGTACTTTGCAGCTCAGCTTCTGCCTCTTAGGGGACTTTTGTAGAAGAGTTCAGTTGGAAGGGAGCTGCAGTTAAAGCACACTTCTGAGGGCGTTGTTCAAACCCCTGCTGAAAACTGACCAGCATCAGGCAGCATTTGCTCTTCTGAGAAGCCTGTCCAGTGTTTTACCACCCTCACAGAAAGAAATTGTCTCCTGACATCTGAGCCTGATTTGGCACAGCTTTGGGGTGATCCCACATGTCTGTGCAGGGGCTGGAGGCTGTCATCTCTCCCTGTGCTTTCCCCCCCACAAGAAGTTGATCACTCAGAGAGTGATGAGGTCACTGCTTATTTATGATTTACTTTGTACTGCAGTGCTGTAGAGTCTATTGCAAATCCCAGATAAATAATTTAATGGCTTTATAAAGGAGTTCCAAACTTTTCAAATCTTCAAATGTTACTTCTGCTAATGTTGTTACTGCAAGAAATCTTTAGAGACATACTAACAAGTTGGTTGCTGAAAGCTCATAGGCTTTTGCAGCCCAGATCAGACTAGCAGTTTGATTAAAGTCTGTTTATTGAAGTACATAATCTTAGAATAAACATGCTTCTTGGATGCCTGGGGTGCATAGGTGCA